TGAGAGCTTTCCTTTAAAGAGGTCAGTTCTCTTAATAACCTCTCCCTCTCACTTTCAAAGCTTTTTCTTTCTTCTTCAAAACTTTTTCTTTGTTTTTCCAAAGAGATATGTAAATTTTCGAATTTTCTAATTAGTGGAGGGATGTAAGGTTCTTCTTCATTTGACCCTGAGGTTGAAGGGGTTTCTGGATCCGACACAGCTTCCTTCTCAGAAGGATAAGGACTCACACTCTCATCAGTTGAGAAAACAGGTTCAGCATTTTCATAACTTTTATTCAGAGAGTCATAGTTGAAAGGAATTTCTGTTCTGGAAGGGTTTGATCGCTTTACCTCTTCTTCTTCTGCCGTTTCTTTTCCATAGGTAAAAGCCATCAACTTAGTCAACCCTAACCCCATATAATTTATGTCATAAAGTTGAATACAATCCACTTTCTTCAGATTATTGGGGTTAGTAAGACCGAGACCCTCCTTAGAGTTATAAAAGCGAGTGTCTTTGTTCTGATTGAGAAAAATGGTTTGTTCTGTTTGTCCTCTCTTGGCAAGTAGATCTTCTAATTCTTTGATTTTTGTGTAAAGAGTACACCTTTTTTCATGTAGAAAATCATTTTCGGCTTTTGCAACGTTTCGTTCTAATTCAGTCTCAGAAACTTTCCTTGTTAGTAGAGCTACCTTTTGGGTGAGTTGATCTAATTCTAAAGTTCGCTTCTTGACAATTTCTTTTTCATTTTCTAACTGTATGCTCAGAGATCTGACTTTATCTAGACTGTCAATTAAATATTTATGGTTGATGTTTCCCTTGTCTCTTAGCTCCATAATTAGATTGTCTTTGACTTGTGAAGAGTGAACTTTACAAGAGCAGGAACAGACGGTTTCAGAGTTACTTACAGTGATGTTTGAGCTTGAGCTTGTACTTCCTCCGGGGATCGCAGCATCACCCTTTTCCTTTTCTTCTTCTTCTACAAGCGCCATCAGGGCCAGATTCTCCTCTTCTTCTTCATCTGAATTCTCCTCCTGCCACGGGTCATTCTCAGTAAGTGTTGCAGCACTATCATCATCTTGTTTAGCCATGAACATTTTCTGTTTGTTCCACAGCATCTTCTGCTTGTAATAGTTGAAGTCCCTTTTTCTTGGTAGGCGACAGTCTTTGATAACGTGTCCAGCCTTTCCACAGTTGAAGCATTTGGGGGGATCTTCTGCTGTAACAGCTCTACTGGAAGAGTTCTGATCATTGTTCTTTGTTTTGTAATTGGCAGAGGAGGTTCGCAGCTTGTTGGATGAGTTTCCCTTCCTAGAGAATTTCTTGTTGAACTGATTGGTGAGCAGAGCCATCTTTTTCTGCAGATCAGCCAATTCAGATTCAACATCCACTTCTTCTTCACTGTCTTCTTCTTCTGTTTCCACCTTAACTGCCTTCTTCTTCTTCTGAACCTTAGATGAACTCTTTGGTTTAGCTTCAATCATGAGTGCTAAAGGATTAGCAGAAAAGCTTCCTTCCATCTCAGCAGTGTCATTCACAAACTGCTGAAGATGCTCATGAAGTGTGCAGAGATCTAGTTCATCTAAGTCCAAGTGTTGTCTCAGGTTCTTTACAGTTCTTTTCCACTCAGGGGGCAGACTCGACAAGAAACGTATATTCATCTCCATGTTTGATTTCACAACCTTGATCTTCCTCATCTCGTTGATCAGTTGTACAAATCTGTTATACGTTTCATGGAGCGCCTCCCCTGGTGCCGCCTTGAATGCATCATAAGCAGTTAAGATGTTTGCTTTCTTCGTCTTCAGTCCAAGATCAGTTCCAATCATCAGCTTTTTTACTTCATCCCACATTTCTTTAGCAGTCTCCATGCTATCAATCAGAATGTAGATGTCATTTGGGATTGCTTGTAGCAGGAATGTCTTTGCCATAAGATCAGCTTTGATTCTCTGTCTATCCTCTTCAGTGTACTCAGCCTTTGTCTTCAATCTTCGTTCTTGATTAACAGGTGGGTTGTTTGCATCAACGCCATTCACACTTGCCCAAATCTCAGCAGGTCCTTGGGTGAGGGATTCCAGCATAGCGGAAGAGTTATCTTTACTTTCTAGAAAATTTAAGAATCTTGTTCTCCACATCTGGTATTCACCTCTCCTCAGAATTGGGGGCCTACTGTCATTACCAAGTGATAAAGCATCCATCTTTGTAGTTGTTGATTTTGAAAAAAAGATCGTTCGAGTGTTTTGATCAGATAAAATTAAGTTTTTAACTGTAGAATGTCGAAAACCTAATTTTCAGGAATAAGTTCGAGAAGGGGGGTCGAGAACTTCTATCGAGAAGCAGTTTTCGTTATTTTGATATCGAAAACCTTGCTATCGAGAAGCTAGGTTCGAGAGACAGCTTTCGAAAAGTCAGTATCGAGAACTTTAAGTTCGAAAACTTAGGTTCGAGAACTGAATGTCGAAAAGCCGTATCGAGAACCTGCAAATGCGAAAACAAGATATCGAGATTTTAATATCGAAAACTGAGTATCGAGAACAGAAGTTCGAGAACTCTAATCGAGAACTTATGTCGAGAAGTCAGTGTCGAAATCCTGCAAATCAAAAATCAATTTTAAACTAGAATAAAACAGCTTTTCGATAAAGTCCTTGATCTCGAGAATCTCTTTGTGCAGTTTGAAGACTGAAACACTTGTAGAAGCCTCGAGAAACCTGCTTTTCGATATCAGAATATCGAGAACCTCAAATCTGAAACTTAAACTGTTCGAAAATCTAGGATATACTGCTTGCTCGTTTTGAGAGGCGATTTCAGCAGTACATCTTTTACACTTTTTCGTTCAAAAATGAGATTACAGCGATTAAAAGGGTACAATATCGAAAAGAAGAAAACAGAGGACTTCGAAAACTTTTTCTTCGGCGATCACACTCGAGCAGGCTTTGATACCAGTTGTTGGTCCCAGTTTAGCAGACTAACGATCAGCTAGATGAACATCATCGATAGACAGAAGAGAAAGATTTCATATAATGATATAAGATTTATCGAGAACAGTGAAACCTTCTTTCTGTAGTATCGAGAAGTAAATTTGGCAGCGTAAGGCTAATGTGTATTGATCGATATCGGTACCTGTACACAAGGCGCGTATTTATAGGCGCTGTACAGGTTACCGATTTAGGTAAACCTTGGAAGTTGGGCCAAGGCCTTTTTGGGCCTTATTCCCTTTACCTTATTTGCTACATAATAAATACTAATCTAATACCATAAATGGTATAACTAGTCTACTTTATTTAAACAAGACATTACAGACAAACTTGACCCACAATAAAAGTTCTAACAACATCATTGGAGGGGGTTAGGAGTTGATAATAATAGAATTAAGGAAAAATTGAAAATAATAATCCCAACTATTGCCGGTCTGCTAACAATAATCCCAACTATTGATTATTTTTGTATAATCCCAACTATATGGATCCTCCGCCAATATAATGGTCCATGACCAGAATAACATGTGAAATTTAAATTGAAATTAAGAGTAAAAATTAAAAGTTGGGATTATTTATAGAGATTACCTTTTATATTTCTTCTTATCCACTTTAGAAACTATATGAGTTTATTTATAGCCGGTCACGCCAGACCATTATTGGTGGAAGATCCCTAAAGTTGGGATTATTCTAAAAAACCGATAGTTGAGATTATTATGAGCGGGCCACCAATAGTTGGGATTATTACTATCAATTTTTCCTAGAATTAATTCCTTAAAAAGGACTAAAACATTAGTAAAATGTACAAATACGACCACAATTGTTATTTTCCAAAATAAGGACCACCATCCCAGTACTATAATATTATTGGTTGAGAGAAAAGAGTGTTATGCAACTTTTACAATTTTTTTACGAAGTAGGCCCATTTTAATTCTCCGCCCCTAGGCCTTCAAACATACATGACCGGCTAACCGGCTTTTTTCGCATGCTCTACTTTGATTACATTTTAATTATTAATGTATGAGAATAAAAAAATCAAAAATGTTTTATCTCATTACAATGTTTCATAAATTGATGGATTTCTTACTTTTTTTACAAATAAAGAATTAACTATAATGAAGGTCAAAATTGTGTTTGACAAGTGTGGAAATGAGAATGTTGCGATTAAAAAGGAACGGACAAAGGTGTGGGACATCTCTTTTATACAAGAATAATCGATAATTGTGGTTATTAAAACGGGTGGACACTAATTGAGAATTGGGTTATTATATGAAACAATTACAAATTAAATTGAAGACAAGTTAACTTTAAAATCTACATGAAATTGAATGCTAAGTAGTTCAAGTAATGGACAAGAAGTCAATATGGGGAGGAAATATTGCTACTAGAACACCAGGATGGAAGTTAAGAGATATGTTTAAAGAAATAGAAAACTTGGACATTGATGAAGGTGCATGTTGCGTGTGGAAAAGAATAACTAAAAGCTCAATACCTTATCATCGTGGACCATTGTTTAGAGTAGGTACAATCTTGTAATTCAAACACAAGCCAATTCTAAATTTCTAATGTTAGTTATCTAGGAATTGTTATGCCTTAATCGATGGGTATCATGAAATATCTTTTCAAGAATAATAACCAACCTAAAATAAATTAAACTAGCTTGTGTCAAAATTTTATAAACAGGAGATGAGGCGGCATGGCTTAAATTTGTTCATTTTTTGTTTAATGCAACTGAGTTTTTTGCTAAACTTGATTATATAGTATCTATTGTAAATCTATGTTACACAAAGACTTAAGTATTAGTACGTAACGAGAATATGGCACCTCATAGTCTCGACCATTTATTGTTGTTTGCCACAAATGCATGCTTTGCAACTTGAAATTAAGCTCAACTAATATTAATGCGATGATATATATTTTTCCTTAATAAATATTACGAAGTAGTATATTGATCGAAATTCAATTTAAAAAGTGTCTACTCTTATGTATACATTGAGGTGTGACAAATACAATAATAAAATTGAAAAAACAGGAATGTCGATGCGAGTGTATTATGCCATTCAGTTTTTAGGCCATCATCACTTTATTAAGTCATTAATAGTTATTGACGATGTTGCTGTTATCGGCTTATCGCTACTGGCCGGCTAGTATTAGGATGTTTTTTTGAACTGAAATTTTCTGGTTTGATCTAATCTGTTCTGGTCTGGTCTGGTAAATTTATGATCTCTATGTATTTTATAACTATGTAGGTCTGATCTGAAAAAATCAATAATATTACAGTCGAACATGTCACTATGGGCCTATGACTGCTAGTGAATTACAAGTAGGACCTGAGGAACAACATGATCTGATGCCCAATTACTAATGAAAAACTATATCTAAATGGATCGCTACTCACTCACAAACTCTCTAGCTTTCTCTTTGGCATGGTTTGCTGTGTCTTGAAACTCAACTTAGAGTCTCACCCCTTTATAGGTAGTTAACTCCTTGGCCTGCACACCTTTTCAACATTGGTTGTCATAACATTATTTAATGTACACTACAAATTTATCACGGATTGACAGATGATTACGTACCAAATTGTTTTATTTGGCATGCCTTTAACATATTTCTACCAAATTCTCCATAAAATTTGACGAATCTCTACCAACCCATTTGTGTTTTTAGTGTATTCACAAGTAGGAAGCTAGTGATGATCTGATTTCCCAACATCATCATCATATCATCATAATTATCTCAGTACCCCATGATGATTTCCCAACGTTGTCCCAAAATATAGAGGGCTAGACATTCACTTTATTTCATTTTTTCTAAATGTAAACATTGTTTTTTAAATTTACATTTTAAATGTAACTCCCACTCCTCCGAAATCACCCAACCAAATTCGCGCCGCACGCGGTTTAAAAAAAGATCTATATATAATTTCCTTCCATGAAAGTTTTAGCAATCTAATAACAACTCTTTACAAGATAAGTAAGAACAACTTAAAGTAAATTAAAGTAGGATTTGAGGAAGACATGAAGCTAAGTGTAGTGTCAAGTTACAGAATCCGAATGACTTGTCATGCTCGTCGGTGGGTGGGTAATTAAAGTGGATAGGAAAAATTAAAGCATATCCTTCAAATCATGACATAGATAGGGCAGTAACAGTAATTAATTTCGTTATCATTACTTTAACGAACGTGGATATATAATCACAAACCAGTTTAATCAAGTTAAACTTTCTTTATTTATCGTGTTGCCCAATATTGTGCACCTCAAATCCAACACGTGTTAATTGCACTTCGCTAACCTAGCCACTAAGCGTTAAATCAAGGTGCTAATTTTCGCTAATATTCTTTATAATGATTGAAAGGTTGATGCCAGCCCGGATTATAATAATCAGGAAAACAAATTACATTTAAAAAGCCAGATATGCTTACTGCTAATCGTACAATTAAAGTGAGAAAAATGGTAAAGTGAAGGCGAAGTGAGATCAGAGCCCATTATTAGATCTCAAAATCAAAATAACCCTTCATCCAGCTACTAGCCTCATAATTAATTATGATTTCATGTCATTAATCACCGGCCGGCCAACTGAATCGGAAATGATGTCTTCCGGCGATCACCACCACCGGGGGAGGATGGAGCTCGTCGGCGAAGGGCCGTCGTGCTATCGGCCCGTGGTTGCACTCCCGCCGCCGCAGCAACAGCAACCGGCTCAGCAGCAGCTGAGCCGGTACGAGGCGCAGAAGCGGCGGGACTGGAACACTTTTGGGCAGTACCTGCGGAACCAGCAGCCGCCGGTTCCGCTGCCTCGGTGCAACTACAACCACGTTCTGGATTTTCTCCGGTACCTCGACCAGTTCGGAAAGACTAAGGTTCACTTACAAGGATGTGTGTACTTCGGGGAGCCGGAGCCGGCGGGGCCGTGCACGTGTCCCCTGAGGCAAGCGTGGGGAAGCCTGGATGCGCTCATCGGACGGCTGAGGGCAGCTTACGAGGAGAACGGCGGCTTGCCGGAGAGCAACCCCTTCGCCGGCGCCGCTATTCGCCTCTACCTCCGTGAAGTCAGAGATTCTCAGGCCAAGGCTAGAGGGATCCCCTACAAGAAGAAGAAAAAGAAGAGAAATAATAGTAATAAAAATCTTAATAATAGTAATAATATTGCATGTTCTTAAGTTTCGTAATGACGAAAAAATGCCTGCCTTTCAGATGCATTTATCCTCTCCGCCCCTTCAAATTCCCCAAGCTTTTAAGGTGAGAATGGTAAGTTACTTTCCTCATTCCGCCGTTTTAGAATAAGATGCATGTGGTAATGTGGTTTAATTAATTATTTTTACGGAGTATTATTAGCGTTTATATGTTACCGATTAATTATTTTGATTAATTAATGATGATGATGATGATATTATTTCAATGCAACCTCACCTTGACAATTAGTTAATGGATAGATTATGCGGATTTTATTGCTGTAGTTTTCCATCTCATTATTATTATACTTCGTATTATATACGAAGTATATATTCATTACGTCTTATTTATTTATTTATTTATTTATTTATTTATTTATTTATTTATTTATTTATTTATTTATTTATTTATTTATTTATTTATACGATAGTATATACGAAGTATGAAACTACGTACAGTGTACTCACTACGGACTATATTTTAATTAATAAAGGAATTATAAAATTAGTGATTCAAAAAATGTGCTTTGAATATTCTTTATAGGAAAAATATAGCTATATCAAGTTGTAATCTCAATCTTCCCTAACCACGCCCACGGTTTTCTGGAGAATTACAATGACGATGGAGTCAACAACATATATAATTATATAAAGAATTATATTAATATATATTTTTTTAAAAATATTGCTGCAATAAAAGTTATTTATAGAGATATGAATAATAAATTACTGCATAGTACTATCGAATAATATAGTATCCAGGGAAGGAGCAAGAGCACTGTGACGGAATGGTCAATAAAAAAATTTAATTTACACGTAGAGTTATGGTTTTAATTCTATAACTCGATCATTACGAGTTACTCCGTAGAAGATATGACTCATAGATCATTTAAATTTGAAATGGCTAAATCATCACGCAAATGTTTAATTAAAATTACGTTTTACGTAGTATTTACTTATTGGCTATGAAAAGGTTATAATATACCAGTATGGAGTACTACATACTACATAAAACAAATCAATAATTATCTACTTCTCATTTAAACCAACACATTGATTTTACCTACATATGAATTATTCAATCCAAATATACTATAGTCTCAAAATAATTCGGCCTTTTGATATAGTACATGGCAAAGTTTTGACCTTCAATTCCTAACCTTCCTTTTGACTTCGTCACTGTTAACCCTATAAAATTTTACACTACACGTACAACTTGAATATCCCTTTGACTTGCAATAGTACACCTCAGGGGCGGAATCAGAAAAGTGTGTAAGGGGTCGGAGTTTAATTATACACAGTATCAAAATGATAGATAATTATTATACAATATTTAAATTAAATGTTTCATATGTAACTGAGATAAATCATACTTCGTAGTTTAATGAGCCTTTATTGTTAATGTATTGATATATATGTAATGTATCATAATTTTCACACAACTAATGACTAAATAAGGTGTTTTATTTTTAAATTTATGAATATAATTAACGTCACACATCAAATTTTGTAGATTTCAATTTAAGATGGTGCTAATTTGTCCATAAGTCATAACTTTTTACTCGTAATGAGTTACGGGACCCATAATATATCAAATCGAAGGTATTTCAAAGCTCTACATTCTTGAACTTTCAGCGAGGTCGGCAGACCACCCTGACCCCCCTTGGCTCCGCCCCTGCTACACCTTCCATCCTCCAAAATTCTTCTCGGTTTTGTTAGTCTCACACCGAATATTTCTTAAAGAATTAAACACCTTCCATCCTCCAAAATTCTTCCCGGTTTTGACCTTTTAGGATGAAACCTCGAATCTTAGCATGGTATCAGAGACAAATCGATCCATGGTGTGGATCCCCTTGTGAAAAATGATGAACCGATGAAAAACTGAATGATGACACTGTTCAAACGAAGTGTCTGGTCTTGATGAGGGCTATTAAAGTCTCACACCGGTTACCTCTGAAAGAATTAAACACTATGTTAAGATCTGAGAACTACTTCTCCTATAAGGTTGACCTTTTATGATGGAACATTGGAACCTTTGGATCTTATCAAGCTTGATCAACCTGAATCGGAGTTTTAGAAAGTGAGAATAAAGTGAAAATGTATGGCTGTGCTTGAGTAAGAAAAAAGTAAATAAATGGTAGCCACACAAAACTTTCCAAAAATGAAAATGGGAAGAACAATTTGGGACGTCTCAAATATATAAGTAAGAAGAATTTTAAGGGACTGAGGGGGTATATTTTGAGTATCTCGTACTCATACATGCATATATTATAAACAAATTACTCCAAATAGAGAAGTAAAACATATGAAAAACACACAAATAACAGAAGTTATGTTTTAGAAAAATTACTCTAAATAGGACTAAAATATAGACAACGTGTACAGATAGGACCACATATGTTCTATATATTCTGAAAATTAAATAAGACTTATATATATTTTCTTATTAAAGTATAAAACTTTCTGAATTTGGAGTGAATGACTTCTATTTTATGAAGAAAACATTGGTGGTAGGTCTACCATTGGGTCAGATCTAGACCTAATCGGACCAGACCTGGACCTGACTTTTTTTAATGGATATGGGTCTGCATCTAATTCTGTTTACCCAGATCCGAACCTATTATTTATTTTTATAAATGAGTTAAGTATATATAGTACATATATGATGACCCGGCACGTTAAAAAACAGATTTGTTTAAAATCTTTATTTGATAACATACATACAATACACATGTATTTACAATTCACTCTTTTTATTTGAACTATATATATCATATATTGCATTATTATATTATATAAAAAAGTTTACACGATACATGTATAAACAAGGAAACAAATACTCCTAATATTTATCGAGTAAAATTACTATTATAATTACTATTATAATTACTATTATAAAATTACTATTATCAAGGGCGGAGCTAGAGCACTAGGCCGGACTGGGCTGATACAAAGAATATTTTTTGAAAATTTTTTACACGGAATTTTTTACACTAAAAATACAGACAATTTTAAAATTTGGGCTGGGCCAGGGTCAGGGATGGCCCTCCCCTAGCTCCGCCCATGACTATTATAATTAGTAGTTACATATAGGCTTAAATTTAATATAAGAAACATAATATGTAAATCTTGATTAAAACGGGTGTACCTTACCCATTTCTGAATCCATTGGATCAGATTTGGATCATATATTCTAGACCCGTCAGATAACGAATCCAAATATGGAACATAAACTAAATTAGCGAGTCCGGATCTAGGATACTATGATCCAGGACGAACTCAACCCGCTTCGATGCCTAATTGGAGGTTCTATACTTGTTTAGAGAATTTTCTTTATTTTTTTATTTCCAAAATGGGAGTAATTAATTTTGAAAAACATAACTTTCTCTATGAGTGAACCAATACTATTTCACGAAGAAACAATTGTGATCATGCTTCTGGATTTGTGGGAAAACATTCTTTATCCTAGTGTAAAGACTTCCTGTTGAGGATTGCAGAGAAAATCAAAGAAAACGATGGGATATTTACCACTTCATCTTTATTTAGTAGTTTTAGACTAGATAACCCATAGAATTACTGTTCATGAATTTTTTTAATATGAATTTTTATCTTTAATTACTTTGTTCCCATCATTACACTGTTGAAAATATAATTTATGCACTCATGTCCCCCTCCCATTTGATATCCTCAAACCAAATTGTCTTTAATTACGATTGACGAACATATACACCCCCTTACTTTGAACCCCACTTTGGAGTGTGACATGCTTTATTTGCTTGATTCTATATTGTTTTGGACAGTGGCGGACTTGCTTTGTTCAAGGGTGTTCAGGCGAACACCCCAAATTTTGAAAATAAAATGTAAAAATACATGTATAGAATTGATATAATAATTTATGTATTGTATTTTTATATAATTTTGTTTACTCTTAACCCTTTTGCTAGTTTTTTGTTGTTGAAAAAATTATGTTTCTTCAATTGTGGGATCAAAAAACATTATTGTGTAATATTTTAACCATGAATTTATTCGAACACCCAACTTCCGGTTGCAAGATCGCCACTGGTTTTGGAGCACATTAATCCTACATGCATAGATAATTTTTTAAATTTGTTCTCATAGCTTATGCTAGCTTGTACCGAGCAAATATTTATCTCATAACTTTATTTAGTTGGCGTATATATGTCATGTAAATAAATAAATAAATAAATAAATAAATTAATAAATAAATAAATAAATAAATAAATAAATAAATAAATAAATAAACAAATAAACAAATAAATAAATAAATAATACATAGAATTCGTCACAATCCGCTGAAAAATTCAATCCTTTTGATTCCACTTGTTACAATTTTTCAGACTCATGATGTGTTGATTTTTCGGGAGTGGGAGACTATCTCAACAAACGATTGAAAAGTCCTTCACTATACGTAAAAATTATGTAGTATTAATAATTACGGAGTACCTAATACGGAGGAATATTTAGGTAACTAAGTAACAAATTGATCGATGATGGCACTAAAAACAAAAATACAATGGTATTGCCACGGATTAATCGAGATTGACACAAATTATTACATATTTTTGACATGGCTATGTGCTAAATAGCTCATGATAAAATGGTGTGATGGTACAAAATTTGGCACATACGTAGTATTTGATATATTTGTGCTAACTCCATGCCAACTGTCAAATACTTTATAAATTTTGGAGAATTTTGGCCAAAGATAGTGTTGAATTTCATCCAACACGATATAATAAATATAGATATAATTTGATATGAACACTCAATCTTTATGTGAAAGCCCAAAAGAGGGAAAATCACGAAACTTTTTAAGTTAATGTTCAAGCCCTCTCTTACTCATTAGACTCTCCTCACCATTACATAGTACAGTTGTTGAGCCTCCATTAATGGCATTACTTGAGCTAGTGTAGAGAGAAGAAATAAGTTGGAGAAGAAGAGAAAAAGATCCTTTACAGGGAGGGAAGGGCCCATATTTATAGGGGAATGGGAAAGGGGTGCAAGTAACTCTAACGGGCTAAATGGGTCATGATGGGCCAAATGGGGCGATACGTGCCCGATAGGATGAAATGTGCCTCAATGACCGGGCTCCGTATTGAGACAAAGCCTTGGGCTCCAGAACATTAACAGGCTGGGATAATATATCGTAACAAATACGATTCAATTCCATTGCTTTTTGTAATGTTGAAAAATGAAAAATCAGACAAAAAAATGAAAGCAATTCCCATGTACGATGTGATGTTGCTATGCTTTATTAGGGAGTGTTTGCGGT